GAAATCTTGCACTTTATGGGACAAAAGAATTAAAAAAAAAATTAGGGTCGGCACTTTAAATTAGGGTCGGTCGGGAAAGCGGAAACAAACATATTTTTTTTCTAGGTCTCATATGAAACGTGCATACTTACTTTATAAATTTCTAAACTTATCTTTTATCATTTCACTTCTTACACTGTATATATACATAACCTTTTTGCATGAACATAATTATTTTTTCCGTAAGCAAATTGACCAGTTGATCTATCAAATTAGTTTTTTCCTAATAACAGTTAAAATTAGTTTGCAGTCCAGGAAATCTTTATTGAAGAAAAAAAAAGAAATCATTTTTTATAGGATTTCAAGGATCTATGGGGCAGAAGGGAGGAACCGGAAGTATGGGTCCAGTTGGACTTCCGGGTTCACCTGGACTACCAGGGATTATGGGAATGAAAGGCCAACCTGGACAACAAGGCTTGCCAGGATTAAAAGGAGAAATAGGACCTAGGGTTAGAAAGAAAATAAAATTTGTTGTTGTAAAAAAATTATGTTAAGTCTGAAGAAAAATACCAAGTACCCTGATTCAACATATAAGTACTGATGCATCAATTTAATAGGGATACAACGGACTTCCGGGTCCAGCTGGCGCCACTGGTCCTTCCGGTCCACAGGGTCAGAAAGGGGAGAGAGGTCAACAGGGATACTTCGGACAAAAGGGAGAGAAGGGGGACACTGGCGCTAACAGCGACTGCTGTACACAGTTAGGTAAAATTAGTTCAGTGACCTAAAGGTCAAAGTTCTGGGTCTCAAAAAAGTCTGTCCGTTCTGTGCTTTCATAAGTTATTTGCAGTTTCTTCCGTATCTTTTTTATAGCAAAACCTACAATTCAGGGAAGCGTTGGAACAATATATCACGTGACAGCGAAAGAGAACAATACTGTAATTTTACCATGTAAGGTCAACGGGTATCCTCCGCCCAAGGTCACGTGGGCTAAAGACAATGGTGTCACAGCAATCAATCAGGGCATGTTGACTGTAAACGGTCTACTTCTGGTGGATGTTCATGTAGGGGACACCGGAAATTATACCTGTAAAGCCGAGAGCATTCTGGGAATTCAAGAAAAAATTGTAGAATTAATTGTCAAAGGTAAATCATTAATATTTTTTTAAAGTTTGTATTTTATGAAAAATTCAATCAATCAAATTTTTGTTACTGCTTTGTAGTCATTTTGAGGTACATGTACATGTATGCCAGACTCTTATGAAAGTAAATAATAAAGCTTGTCTCAAAACTTACTGATTTTATTAATTTCTCGATTTCTATATTTAAAAAAAAAACCATATATTTTTCTAAGTTTGCTTTAGAAATTTCAGTGAATCGGACAAATTTAAACAGATCTAGAACTTCTATGATTAAAACATGTAGTTCTACAAACTAAATTATAGGATTTTGTTTCAGATGGTAAAGCAAAAATTCAACCAGATCTAGAATACGTTGGTGCTATGGTAAATAAATTTTATGTAAAACTATATAGAAGGGTTACACGAGATATCTAATCAATCACTCACCTCCCATTAAAAGCATATCATGTAAGTAAGAAATATATGTAAACTCTGAATTAACACATAATTAGGGTTTATAAGATTTCATATATTTATTTTTTTAGGTGGGACAAATTGTACAAAACTTGTGCAGAGTAACAGAGACGGATCATTACAACCTTCAGTATTCCAAGGTCACCGGGTCATTTCCGGTTCACAACATTAACCCGGATGGGAGTATTCAGTTCGCAATGACTGGGGAACGTGACACCGGGGAATACCAATGCGAGGCCACAACAGATACCGGAAATGTGTTTGCCGCGTTTTATGGTAAATCTTGCTTAAGCAGTGCAAGATAAGTTATTAGTTCCATGTTCTGATTTTGGAATTCAATGCGATTTGCAATTTTCAAATTAAAGTAGTTTGCAAATGTTACATCGTATGACAACACATGGAAACAGATTACAGTAGCCCCCCCCCCCCCCCCCATCCTCTATGGAATCAGTTGACCTAAAAAAAAATAACTCTTTGGTGGGGAAGGTCACGGTGAACACCCATTTAAATTGAATGAAATGTAGAGTTGTGATGGAAGCAACGTAATTTATACTGACACGCAAAAGAAACGCAACACCCGACTTTAGGGGGAAATATTTACATTTCCAATGTCTTTGTCCGAGATAAAATTACCAAATGTAAATGTAATTGATTTCCTCATGAATGTTTTGGCGCGGTTCCAAAAAAAAAAAACACGTGCAAGGCGGGACAACACCTAGACAGAAGCAGGCTTGGAGCCCGTGGATTGGCGGAATCAAAGCATGTAAATATAAGGAATAACTGTCAGATTTTTCGAATTCATGAAGATGATCAATGGATTGGCTTGTGTGATAATTTTATGCATAAACGCCTTCGGCGTTTATGCAAATTATCACACAAGCCAATCCATTGATCACTTCATGAATTCGAAAAATAAGACAGTTATTCCTTAAATAAATATGTAAAGTAAAGAATTTTGTATCTTAAAATTATGAATATCTTCAATTTGTTAAACATCAGTAATTTAACGCTTGAACGACTTTCATACCATAACCGGAAGTCAAGTTTGAGTTCGCTTAACAGAAATTAAAAATTGCAAGTTTAACAAAACATTTGGCAATATTATTGAGTTTTAAGGGTTTTTTACTGTTCATCATAAGTAATGCAGCAAAAGTTCAAAAAATAAACTCTCCTTTTGTTTCCCGTAACGATGCTAAGGCTACTTAAAAATGGCTTGTGTACGCATTTCCATTGCTCTAGCTGGAAAATTTCAATGTAAAGGTGATGGAGAGTTGCTGATGCGAAATTTCACTACATTACGCCTCAACAGGGTCTTACGTATCATATGCATTAAGGAGATCCTTGTACCGGAAGTCCAAGGGTGGCCACACTGCTCTAAATTAGAGAAAATTCGACCTAATCATCTGAAAAACGGGCATTTAAAAATGCCAAAGGATAATTCCTTCGTTCAGATCTCTATATTAATGAAACTACTGTATCGTAGAAATTAAGCTGCAATTGTTGTTTAGGGCAGTCTTGCGCGTTTTACTTGAATGGCTGTGAGGGGGGTGTTTTAGCAGTCATATTTTACTTAGTAAAGTAAACAGATAAACATTTATGATTTTTATCAAATCTCTGATGTTCTGAAAAGTGAGTTAAGCCTTACTTTATTCGCTTTTGAAAATCATGAGATAAAAAATCAAACATTTGTAGATTACTGCTAGTTGCGTTTCTTTTGCGTGTCAGTATATTTGATTACACTTTTGTGTTTTTTATTAAAATGGGAAGTTTTTATTCTTTTCTAGTGTATAAGGACATGGGGCAGCTCACATGTCAGACAACATTTGCTGATTGTGCAAAACTGGACAAGTCTTATTGCGGGTAAAATTTGAAAACTACATAAATTTCAATTAGTTATGACACAGCTGTATACCAGCATCATTAAAGAAAAAAGGAAGTGAATTTAAGCATTTATAGATATTTTAAAACATAATTCTGGTGTAAGATTTTTCTTTCTAATTACTTTTCAGTGGTACTTGCCCGGCCGGATGTACTGATCTCAATGAAGTCTTCCATGCTCATCGGTTTGCACTGGTAGGAACAAATTATGGCATGGCCTCTTTTAGTACTATAATCCAAGTTGTAACGCATTGGCAGTTCTATGTTTATGACTGATTATGTTTTTACAGAATTTACCTGTATGTCGGGCCGCCTTAAATAGTGGTGATCTGACGTCATTGGGAGGTCACGTGGTTTGGAAAAATGAGCATGCCAAGTAAGAAAATTACTCCTGATTAATAGGCATCACTTTGTCTGTTTAAATGATAACATTTATATTTGGCATTTCTAGCTACTTATAAAGCTGGGGAACCAAAGTGATTAAGACCAGTGCAAAATGCATGGGCACACTTTTTATTATGTCTTCATGTGATTGGTCAATAAATCTACATTATCTTTTATATGTCTAAGCCATTGTGTGCAGAGGCGGCAGAGAAGTCAGAATTTTCACAGGCAATACAAATTAAAACCATCCCCCTACTTTGTTGAGAAAGTGTGTGTACTTCCTTTACAGGATTTATATATTTACAGTATCTTTTATCTGTTTACAGTGGCGGCGAGGCGTCAGAGTTTGTACAAGCCACACAAGTTAAACGTCCACCTCTCACCATATTGGGATAAACAAACCATCTCCACATTGTATCACATTTATATATTATACTCAATTGTAATTTGTGTATGTCATCATCCATTAAAACTGAAAATCGTCTTTCTAACATTATCGTCTTTTCAATGGTCTCATCCGAAGGACCGTTCTCCACATCGATGAATCACACCTGCAACGTAAGGATCCTTATTCTGCGATTCTAATACATGCGCTATTAGTGCTATTAGTACTGCATCAATCTTTTTACACATATCAGAACTTTTATATATTTCCATTTCTTTTTTTTTCTCTGTGATAACCCTTTGAAAGTTAGAGGAGTTGATTTCTTGATAAATCTAACGGAATGTAAATTAGGCAGGTCGATAGGTCAGGAGCTAAGGAGACCTAATATGCATGCAGATCTTGTGCGCATCTGTCTCTGTGTCTGACGCTAGGGAGGCCAAATAAAGGTATGAAGGTAAATCTCGTGCGACTGCCTTTGTGTTTGACGTCAGTGGGCGAGATCTATTGAAATTGGCATCGGAGTCCTCGTGTAATTTAAATCTATGTCTACATTTTTAAAGTCTAAATCTACAATTTTATAGCACAACTAGAGGTACTGTGAGCAATGAGCTCACTAATTGATACCCCCCGCCTCCCATATGATTATAATGGCAAAGTCCATGTTTTGCGGTGGCCGGAAAACCCAAAATATTTGTCGGATCAAAAAATAAAATAGGAGGTGCACAATGGCAATGTGTAATAAAGATTCTGTGAAAGTTTCATTAAATTTCACTCAGTGGTTTAAGAGGAGTTGAGGATAAGAGATGGGTACCCTAAAGCGTAACAGACGGACGGACGGACAGACGTACAGACGGACGGACGGACAGAAGGACGAACGGACATTAACGATTACTATTTACCCTCCCGCTTTTCAAGCGGGGGGTATAATGAAATGGAAATATCAGGAATCACTGTCTAGTTGGTATAGTATGCCAGGGACATCAACGATAGTGGGAAACATGCGATAATTTATTCATAACGGGCTTCGCCCATGTTTCCCACTATCATTGATGCCCTGGCATACCATACTAACTAGACAGTGATTCCTTAAATATTATGTGAAAACCTTGGTTTATACAGTCTTATCCGAAGGACTATTTGCAACATCAGGTACTAATTCAATCCTTCTTCGTAAGGATCTTTATTCCGCGAATCTTTGAAAAAAGCTCTTGGAACTGCACCAACCTTCATCTTTAAGCTATTGTTAATCAATAAAAAAATTACAATTTAAAAGTATATCATAAATATTTATTTCGTTTAGGGGAATAGAGACATTTTGTAGTATAGTAATATAACTTGCATACATACTTTCTATATATTTTGCATTTAACAAACGTTTACACCTCTTCCAAACAAAAACACAATAATATTAACTAATTTCATAAAACATTAACTTAATCACCATATTATTATAGAAATACGGCAACATTATAAATATATATATGTAATACAATAGGATGAAACGAAATTATGGAATTCTTCAAGCATCAAAATGGCAAATTACATAAAATACATGACTTTGTATCTACCGCCATATATATGGATAAACACATCACGAAGCCAACTATAACTAGTATTAAAATACAAAAATGCGTTCGAAAATTATTTCTTGAAACATAAGATTTGGGTGAATATTCTTTGAACTTTGGATGGATAAAAATGGTATAAAACAGTGCTGAACAGATAACCACTCCTAATTTCTAGTATCAGTTTTTAACAAAACGAAAAAGCAACTTTCTCTTTCTTTACAATAAACTCTTTGTAGCATTTCATTCTGGTAGTTTAAACATCGAATTTCACAGGTACCAGTTGGCGCTCATCAAGTTTTTCATACAAACCAACAAAAAATCGTTTAGACATAATATGCAAATTAAAGCTCAAACACGTTTATTAAATTATCTTCAGAAAGAACATTTTAAACTTCGAAACATAAAACAGGGCACCACAAAGCGGAGCATCCCCTCGCAATTAGCATATCTATAAATCTAAACAGCATTCAATATCGATTCACAGTATGTCACTTCCATTTTGCACAAGCACAAACTAACACACACACACACAGGCACATTACAATATACCCCACAACTCTGTTGGGTTATAAAACAAGAATCGTGTAAAACAACAGTGTAGAAATGGCATTAATTTTATGAAACAACAGACAAAGAAAACAATTTTTACTGAAATATAAAGGTAGCCGCCAGAAAAAGCCGATAATTCAAGGGTAAATGAGATTTAAATTTATATGATTTTTTTTAACCACCAATTCCAATGAATGATTATAGTTTTAACTTCTAAAAAAATAAAAAATTATGCAAATGACAAGTGTCTCTTTCTAGGAAATAAAATATACATTTAATAAAGACAGAAGCTTTACTTCATATCACTTTGAGTAGGAAAATTCATACGCTGTCAAAACGTTGATAGAAATTGATATCATCAGTTTATTGCTTTCTGCGTATCAATTTCAGCAGTTGTTTTACTTTAACAATTTCATATGTCCTGTGAATGCTCATTCAAATTCTTCATTAAAAATTTGATTTAATCTATGCAAATGATGAGTTTAATCACAGACATCGTTAATTAGTGATTGGGCTTACTAAGGCCAAAGTTTTTTTTTTTCTCTTGGTTTACGATTCCGCCGACCCTATTTTTCCCTATTTACGAAAATAAAAATAATGTGCCTAGCTCGAAATTTTCTTGACCAAACCAAAATTTACACCACATCTTAATCATTAACCCAAACTCTCACAAACATTCAATGAACTCTACAAATACAGATTGTCAAACCACATTGCCAATGACCAATGCATCGAATACTCTGTCGGAACTCCTCTAGATTTTACACTTCCGGGTATGAAAAAGTCCATCGTTACAAGTTATACACAACAAGACGCAAAACAGCTGGACAGTTATCGATGTCATGCCAAAGATGTTGGAGAAAATTTTAGATCTTTATTATTGTCAAATAATTAATTCATGCTGTGAATACAGACATACTTTTACTGATAAATTGTGAAGTTATTAGCTTTCTAAGAAGTTACACATCAGAAGACAGATTCGATAAACATATAAGTAGCTGTTCAATCGGCATGCAGGTGTGCATCAAAACTTTTATTAGAAACAGAATTTTATACTGAAAACAAGTTTGAAGAGAAATTAACAAAATTATGACCATGCCAAAATCCAATGAGAAGAGAAATTTTAGAAGTTTAAGATTGTACTACTATATAAGAAATGAAAAAAAAATGTTTGATAAACAATTAATCTGACAGTAAGAAACTTTTACTTAATAGTAGTAGTAGTAAATTTTATTTAATGTCAATGCTGTTTTATTTTTTTTCTAGATATTTATATACCTTGTAATTGGGGGAAATATCTTTTAAGATTCTTTTTATCTTTTTTAATCATTTTAAATACAATGTTTATATACAGAAAAAATTTTGAAATGTAATGTAAGTTTTAAACAATGAAATAGTTTTATAACGATTAAAGTGTGCCACGTATACGCACCAAGAAGTCTCCCTAAATTTCAAAACTTCTCCTTAAATTTCTTTGAGGGAGAAGTGAAGTCTCCTTAATCGGGTGGGTCTAGATTGGTCCCCGGACACACATATCTTAATTTAAGGTAAAGGTTTGTTGTGAAAGCAATCACTTTCGGAGTTTCCAAATAATTTTCGTAAGAGGAAAGGCTGACCAGAGAATAGCCAATTTGCTTAATTTTACCCATATTTGTCCCAGTGCAATATATGTGTCTATTATGGAAACTCAGACTTGTAAGTCGGAAGAATGAAAACCATCAACAGTAACAGAGCCTGATACTACCATTTCTGTTCTTGAGTCATTTGACGTGTGATTCATTTTTCTTGACTTGAAACCGAATGATAAGAAAAAATAATTTTTAAAGTTGAAAAATCTTGTGTGTTTATTATTTTTATTTGAATACATTTCATTGCTACTCGAGAAAAAAATATGTCAAGGTTCCAAATTATTTTTATTTTTATTTTTCGACCACCCAATGCATATTTTTGTGTCAAAAAATCGTAAACCAAAAAAAACTAGTGCTAATTGTAACGGGGACCGTTACAGATGTTCCCCAAACGCTCCCCATGTCCCTTATCGTACCTTATTCCTCTAAGACCTTTTATAAATATGCTAAGTATCCCAGGATTTCATTTAAGAATATAACGATACAACGTTACCACGATATCAACTATATATTGTTTAACGTTTTGCATGCGCGCACACGTACATGTACATGCATATGCAAGATGATTATGGCATGTTGATTAAGCGATTAACATATCTTTCTATCCCGCGAACCAAAGAAAAAAATACATATATAAATTTACCATTTTTTAAGCATATGTCATTTTTTTATATATCGATTCACATTTTATTTCTCTACTTATTTTAACCTCGGGCTCAAAGTTGGTTTTATTCCGACGACAAGGCAGGGTTAAAGTCGACTAAGGGTATCACGCCAATACCTAACCAATCAAAATGAACTTATTCAATAGTAGTTCCATACATGGAAAAGGGATTTTCCTTTCTGTTCAGAACTTTTTTAATATTTCCTCTCAGGCCATTTTGTCAACTCTGATACCTGTGCCTGGTAAATTTTATATACTTTGTAAATAAATATGTAAAGGTTTTTAGACCGGAACTATTCATTTTTTCCAATGCATAGGGGGCTACTCTCTGGGTTTTACAAGAGATGTTTAAAAAGACATTCGTGTCAGCTAATGTGACCAATATTGTTTAACACCTTCTTATTAATATTTTTCTCATGAATGCAAATATCTGATTATTTTACGAAGGAGCGTACATGTATATATTGATTTTTAATATACCGAAAATCGCTATTTCTGGGGATTGCGTAATTCTAAAAAAAATTCAAATAAATTTCAAAGGTAAATTAAACAAAGGATGCTCGGTATTAAAATATTATTTCAAATCAGTAGAATTGAATGCCATTAACGACATCTGAATAAATAGGCTATAAAAGGCTTATATGCCAACTTTGGTCATCTGCACTTAAATTTTAAACACGACAGGATTTGTAATTTTTTCTGCATAAATTAATAATTTCTATATACTTTGGAAACTCAAATGAAATATTTTAATACACTTTCCTCGAGCTCTTTTCTGCAGTTTTCCTGAAATTTTATGTGGGTCCGAGGTGTTATTTGAGTTTAACAGTGATTCTCTAAGTTGCCATTAATTTGATTTGTTTGTGTGTGTGGGGGTGGGGGGGGGGTTTATTTTTATTCTTAACCTATTTAAGGTACGAGTTGAATCTTGTATCTTATTCCAAGAACTTAAGATTGATTGTGACATATGGATGAAAGGTCAAGGTCATTAAAAACCACCACCTCTTTAACTTCTAACCTGTCAACCGAAATAAACTCTGAAAGGTGTTTCTAGATACATGTACATGTACTTCATGTTTCTTTTTACCCTTGGGTCAAGGACAAAGGTTAAGGTCGATTTCAAGTTCATAGGTCAAGGTGATTTTGGTAAATAGCTAATATCAACATTTTATTCAGGTTACCAGTGACCTTGACCTAAGTTTCAAGGTCAAGGGTAAAAAGATCTGCATGCTTCAGTATGTTACATGTCTTGATATTTAGAAGTTCTTAATTCTGCATGAACATCAAACACTCAAGTATACTGTCTTTTAATACATTGTGTGCGGTCGCATGTGCATGCACGTCCATGCATTTACTTTTGATAGTAGTATAATGTAGGCAATCATTATATCTATTCATATTTGAAATTTCACCCTGTATTATTGAGAACCAAGAAAGTTGTAGGCATTTAAAGTTTTAGCCAATCAGATTGCAGCACACGTGCATGTGCGTGCGTTCTTGATTATTCTTATATATCATGCTGTAGATCTTCATAATGTAAGACTATGTTCAAAATTTCAAAGGATTTTGTCAGAAAACAAAATAGATATTTAGACTTTTAGTTTCAGCCAATCGCAGCGAAGGGCACCTGCATGCGCGTGAGATCTTGCTATTTTGACCATGTCATCATTTCTATACTACTATTATATCCTTATATTATGAGTTTCAAAGCATTTTGTCCAATATTTAAAAAGTTACGGCTAAATCTATTATATTGGTCATTTCACGTGTTACACGCGCGCGCACATGCACGCACGTGCGCGCAAAATGACCTTCGTTCCGCACATCTACATAACATACCTAGTGACCCTAAAAAGGTTTCACCTAGATCGGATGAGTAGTTTACGAGAACACTCGCGGACAAAAAAGTACCGGAGAACAAAGAAAAAATTCAGAAAAAGTAAAAACAATATGTTCCCAAACTCCGTTTGGGGAACATAATAAAAACTTTGGCCTAATCTACGAACTACATGTACTGGTGCATTTAAATTTCCCTACATTTCAATACATGTATGAACATACTGTAATGATTTCAGTGCAAAGGTCTTAAAACAATGTAAGCTTATGAATAACTTTACATTTTTTCATAGATATTCGTTATTAAAATATTCAAAATATTCAAACATTTATATTGCAATAAGGACATTGTAGACTAGACAAAATTATTCAATAAAAACAATTTGATACACAAAAATATGCTTTCAATTTTGACTTGTTTCAAACCAGGACAAAATCTTGCTATTTCTTTGAATTTTGAGGCATTACCTTTTATAACACTTTTTTATATAATTTTGATAAAACATTCTAGTTCAAGAACCTTAACTACTATTTGCACATGTGGTATCTACTATATGACGATTAAAAAAGCTAAACTTCCAGCAAAATAAAAAATACATTTGCGCACCATTTGCTATATATTGTTCTAGCTGAAATTTCTCGCTAATACTTAGAACAGGGCAAAGTGTAAATTACATTTCAAGCTTGTTTGTTTTAACTATAGCATAAACTACCTCTAAGTAACTTAAGAAACAATAAAAATTCAATCAGACAGGAGTATCAAAACAAAACAACATAGAATTAAAAAGAATAAATATTGCATTTAAATTACAGTGTAGTACTTAAAGAGAAAAGATTCACATGCCATTACCCATACTTGTATGAAAATAAAATACTGAAAAAAAATTTAAATATTGTACCTCATAATCCAAATCAAGATTTTATCGTTTTGATAGATAAACACCCTCCTTCAAAATGAAAATGTGGGGTTTTCAATTTGTCAGCTTATAGTCAAGTGCTGACAATTAATATCCATAAATAAGAACTCAATGCTTTAATAATATCACCAAAATAATATATGGCACCTTATTGAGAACCTTAATGAAATAAAAAAACTTCATTCCATAGTAAAAAATTATAGGTACATGTATATCAAATATGTCACTTAAAGTTTTACTTTTACACAGCTGATTGTAATTTGTCGACTTTAGCCTAAAAGATCCTCAATTATCCTTTAACTAATCTCGTTTACTTGCTATTTTACAGGGAAAATAAATAAACTACGTAGTTTCAATCAGAGATTGTAAGTGTAGATAAATTCACATGTAAATATCATTTAAAAATCAATGTAGTAATGAAATAGGGAGTCAAAATATAAATGTAAAACCTTCCACACATTTCCTACATCAATCTACACCTCCAGAAGGAAAGTATTCATAATGATAAGGATTATCACTTTTCAAAACTGTCACATTACATGCACCATCCTGACGAACATGCATATTTATCACAAAGCTACACACACTCTCTCTTTCTCTCTCTCTGCAATTTGAACTAAATATCATCTTTGCATCTATGTTTTCCATACCAGACTCGACACAATTTTAAATAAAACATTTTAAAAAAGAGAAAAAAAATATCAGAAAAATATTGTAACATCATTGGATCTGCATTTACTTGTGTGATGATGGTACCCTTGGCCTGGATTTGGATTAGACATAATACTATGACCAGCAGCCTGGGTCATGACCACTTAGGGTCGTATCCTTTCCAGTTTGGGGGTGGGGACAGGTAGATCCTCTGACCCCGGTACATAAAACTGACCACACCATTATAGGCCACTCTCGGGACTCCAGCCTGTAGTAAATAACAATTGTGTAAAAAATGATGCAATAAATTAAATTTTAAAAATAACCTTCCAAAGAATTAATTATTTAAAAAAGTCACAAATATCAACAAGAACAAGAGGCCCAGGGGCCACAGCGCTCACCTAAGCACATCAGGCTTGAATTTACTCCCCCCCCCTCCAGGCGTTCATCATTTGAACAAACTAGAATCTACACTACCTGAGGATGATTCCATATAAATATCACTAATCATAGCTTTGAAGTACTTGTAAAGAAGATTTTAAAAGATTCCCTATATATCCCTATGTAAAACTTGGGTCGGCCATTTTGGCCCCACCCTAGCCCCGGGGTCATGATTTGAACAAACTTAAATCTCCTCTACCGGAGGATGATTCCACATGAGTTTCATCTTTCCTTGCCCAGTGGTTCTGGAGAAGAAGATTTTTAAAGATTTTTCCTATATATTCCTATATAAAACTTGGGTCGGCCATTTTGGCCCCACCCTAGCCCCAAGGTCATGATTTGAACAAACTTGAATCTGCACTACCTGAGGATGATTCCACATGAATTTCATCTTTCCTGGCCCAGTGGTTCAGGAGAAGAAGATTTTTAAAGATTTTTCATATATATTCCTCTGTAAAACTTGGGTCGGCCATTTTGGCCCCACCCTTGCCCCAGAGGTCATGATTTGAACAAACTTGTATCTACACTACCTGAGGATGATTCCACATGAGTTTCATCTTTCCTGTCCTAGTGGTTCTGGAGAAGAAGATTTTTAAAGATTTTTCATATATATTCCTATGTAAAACTAGGGTCGGCCATTTTGGCCCCACCCTAGCCCCGGGGGTCATGATTTGAACAAACTTGAATCTACACTACCTGAGGATGATTCCACATGAGTTTCATTTTTCCTGGCCCAGTGGTTCTGGAGAAGAAGATTTTTAAAAATTTTTCCTATATATTCCTATGTAAAACTTGGGTCGGCCATTTTGGCCCCACCTTTGCCCCAGGGGTCATGATTTGAACAAATTTAAATCTCCTCTACCTGAGGATGATTCCACATGAGTTGCATCTTTCCTGGCCCAGTGGTTCTGGAGAAGAAGATTTTTAAAGATTTTTCCTATATATTCCTATGTAAAACTTGGGTCGGCCATTTTGGCCCCACCCTAGCCCCGGGGGTCATGATTTGAACAAACTTAAATCTCCTCTACCTGAGGATGATTCCACATGAGTTTCATCTTCCCTGGCCCAGTGGTTCTGGAGAAGAAGATTTTTAAAGATTTTTTCCTATATATTCCTATGTAAAACTTGGGTCGGCCATTTTGGCCCCACCCTAGCCCCGGGGGTCATGATTTGAACAAACTTAAATTCACACTACCTGAGGATGATTCCACATAAGTTTCATCTTTCCTGGCCCAGTGGTTCTGGAGAAGAAGATTTTTAAAGAATTTTCCTATATATTCCTCTGTAAAACTTGGGTCGGCCATTTTGGCCCCACCCTTGCCCCAGGGGTCATGATTTGAACAAACTTGTATCTACACTACCTGAGGATGATTCCACATGAGTTTCATCTTTCCTGTCCTAGTGGTTCTGGAGAAGAAGATTTTTAAAGATTTTTCATATATATTCCTATGTAAAACTAGGGTCGGCCATTTTGGCCCCACCCTTGCCCCGGGGGTCATGAATTGAACAAACTTGAATCTACACTACCTGAGGATGATTCCACATGAGTTTCATCTTTCCTGGCCCAGTGGTTCTGGAGAAGAAGATTTTTAAAGATTTTTCATATATATTCCTATGTAAAACTTGGGTTGGCCATTTTGGCCCCACCTTTGCCCCAGGGGTCATGATTTGAACAAATTTAAATCTCCTCTACCTGAGGATGATTCCACATGAGTTTCATCTTTCCTGGCCCAGTGGTTCTGGAGAAGAAGATTTTTAAAGATTTTTCCCATATATTCCTATGTAAAACTTGGGTCGGCCATTTTGGCCCCACCCTAGCCCCGGGGGTCATGATTTGAACAAACTTAAATCTGCTCTACCTGAGGATGATTCCACATGAGTTTCATTTTTCCTGGCCCAGTGGTTCTGGAGAAGATTTTTTAAGATTTTTCCTATATATTCCTATGTAAAACTTGGGTCGGCCATTTTGGCCCCACCCTTGCCCCGGGGGTCATGATTTGAACAAACTTAAATTCACACTAGATGATTCCACATAAGTTTCATCTTTCCTGGCCCAGCGGTTCTGGAGAAGAAGATTTTCTTAAAATGCCATTAATTTTTAACAAATTCATGATTATCTCCCCTTGGAAAAGGGCGTGGCCCTTCATTTGAACAAACTTGAATCCCCTTCACCTAAGGATACTTTGTGCCAAGTTTGGTTGAAATTGGCCCAGTGGTTCTTGAGAAGAAGATGAAAATGTGAAAAGTTTACGACGACAACGACAACAACGACAGTGACGACAGACAACGGACAAATTTTGATCAGAAAAGCTCACTTGAGCCTTCGGCTCAGGTGAGCTAAAAAACTATGAAGATATTGGAATCATTGTCTCAGGCCTATACAACTACACAGGTACATGTATATGGCAATGCATATATTCCTAACAAGTATGTAAGAAGTTTCCTCATCCGGTTTATCAATTCACATGAAATACACAAAAATTTTCATTGGTGAACTTCATTTTATTTTCTGAACGAATTCCATAACACATTTATGAGCGTTTGGTAGGCATTCCTACATTCTATTCTGTTTTTTTTTTAAATTGGGGTATAGTAAATCACATTACCTTAAAGTCATCCATAATACCCAGTTTCTTAGCTGTGGATTTGAATTCTTCTTTGGTAGAGTATAAAATTTTTAAGGCCTTTAGGTTTGACTTATGACCTGCCATGGCCTCTGCTACTGTCACCTCTGGTGTCTCTTTCACCAGTTTTGTAAAATAGGCATCATATTTATCCTGAAAATACCCAAGAAATTTCTGATTTACCTTTATTTTAATTAATGCGAAATGGAAACTTTGTCACTTCTTATGTCTCTTTCATGAACTTGGATAAGTATTTAGAATATTTTCTTGAAAATATCCAAAAATTATCTAAACTTATCTAAATATCCATCATATTTATCCTGAAGATATCCAAAAATTTTCTAAATGTATCTTAATTAGTGGTAAATGGAAGCTTTGTCACTTCTAATGTCTCTTAAGTAAGCAGAATATTTTCCTGAAAATTTCCAAAAGTTATCTTATCTCAAATGCATCATGTTTATCCTGAAAATATCCAAAAAATATCGTAATTTACTGAAACTGTGCTTCTTATTTATCTGAAAAATTATCTAATTTTATCTAAAATATGCATCATAATTATCCTAAAATGTATACCAAAATTATCTCAATTCATCCACATTACTGATTTGGAAGAAACTTTCTATATTTCTAAAAACAAGAAACTTCTACTGCAAAATTTTATTGTTCAGAAAAAATGATTTACCTTCATTAGGTATGTAAGATCTTTCTTTGTGAAAGGCACAAATTTGTTATTCAATTTTATAAATTTGAGATGTTTTTCATAAAACAGCCCCCTGCAAAATAAAACATTTATTGTAATAAAACATCTACATTCAAGTATACATGTATCACTTGTATCTTTTTTTTTTACCCATGGAGTGCATTCAATGTAGCCGTGAAAAATTAAACTTCTTGAAACATGTTCTGTATTTATATACCTTGGTAATTTACAGTAAAATTTAAGTTTATCCAACATTGATATCTCAAATACAATGGATATGTCAAAGTGAGTTGCAGTATTAACACTCTCTTTCTCTTTGATTTTTAACATCAATTTTTTAAATCCTAAGATATTAGGTTTTTTGAGGATCCATAGAGTTTAAGATAGAGAGGTTTGACTAAATATGAATGGTGGAGCCTCCTAAAGCTAATACTCTGGATGTACCAGCTTGTGGAAAATAATTTATATTTTAATGTTTTATTTATCAAAAAGCTTCATTAATCCAAACATTTTGTTCAGAAACACAATTGTATCGACATGTAATGTACATCTCCACTTCATAAGATTATCGTTTGCTTAACTGTAATTGTAGGTTGTCCCTATGACCCGGTAGCCAGGTAATATTCCCGCCTATAATGATGTAATGCCCCGGCTATTTTGGTATTCCTCCTAAACTTCCTATTAAGGTAGGAACCCAAGATACCTTTTACTTTTTCAATGCTCCCTTTTTATTTCATTTTTAGGGACATTCCTTTTTTTTTTTTTTTTTTTTTTTTTTTTTTTTTTTTTTTTTGGGACATTCTTCCTATTGTCATCATCCTTTGTTGTATATGTCTGGACTTTTTGACTTACTTGCTGACCCCTTTCTTGCCGAAGGTGCTGGTCCTGCAGATTTCGGGTCTGATACAGGCCCGCCCCTTCCTCTGGTCAGGATGCCTCATCCAATCATCCCAAAATCTACCAAAACAAAAGGTCAATAGGTCAACCCATAACATTCCTAAAATCATCTTTTGAAAACTCAAAGGATTTACAGTACTTTGTTTTATATACAAGTAATAGCTTTTCAAAAAAGCTTGCCAGACTTATGCAATCAATATCTATAGAACCTATGATCATGATAAGTTGAATATATATAAACGTTTACATTGGGGTGAGGGGTAATTATTTCATTGGAGTAAATTATGAAGACGTCGAACAAAAGATCATGCATTAATTTTAAGTTGTTTGCTACTTATGAAAGCAATGGAGAGCCTCGTTTTTGAAAGTGGGGGCAGCTAGAGAATTTTTTTTCACTCATATGCAAAAAAAAAGAATATGCCCAAAGTTGAAAATTTTATTTCAGGGAGGGGGGGGGGGGGTGTTGTAGTGACCAACTTTTTTTCAGTGTCAAGTTCTTTCTGTACCAATTTTTTTTTAGTATTAAATACTGCATTTCGCTTTAATAAAGGAAAAGGAAGAGTGAGATTTTATTTAAAAGGTATATTTTGTATGTATTAAAAATTGGTTTTGATCTGTTTTTCATTTGTTGTGTAAGGACGCCTGTGGAGCGTTACAAATACTTGGAACTCAGGACCAATGAGCAGTTTCATGTAATCTTTTTCGTGCTAACACCTATGCCCTATCCTAAGGACCGATCTCCACGTCTTGCAGTGGATTCGAACACGCGACCTAAAGCTCAGCTCCTCATTCCGCAACGCTATAAATGGTTTTAGAAGATGAAGTAATTAAATAAGGGAAATGAACTAATGATTTAATGTATGCTGGAAAGCCGTGCCTATGTAAAGGTTATATATTAATTTTAAAATTAAAATTTAGAATTAGATTCAACTGCATAGACTACCAGGAAGACAGCTGAGAATATGAAAACTACAAGAAATAAATGAATCGTTATGATTAACATTCAGAATATGTTTAAGCACTAGACTGTTGGGCATGCCAGAGCATCAACGATTGTTGGAAACAGCCCGTTATGCAGCATAAATGACCCAACGAACTTGACGGTAATTCCTTATATTCCTCAATCCTGGAATATGAGGGACACTTTCCTATTTTCTGTGTTCATAGGTTCATAGGAGTAAGAATTTTATCTCTGAAAACGGGGGGGGGGGGGGGGGGGGGGGGGGGGGGGGGGGGGGGGGGGGGTGCGAGATATGAGCAGAAATATGAGCAGAAATATTATGTATATTTGGCTAGTTTTCCTCGTAAGAACTCTTTTTCCGTTTCGTTTTATTTACTTTAAATGGTGTAACTTTTAACTTCTTTCACAATATCACCGATATGTTTTTTTCCCCAAAGTTCGATATTCCGATGAAAAGAACAGACTTGAAGTTTTCATTTCCATTCAGTGCAGTAGAATCATCCAGGAAAAGGGCGCGAAGATATACACGTGACATTTGGCGCAAAATGATTGTGACACCCCTTACTTAGAAGACAAATGGACTCATCCAATAGTACAGAAACACAGAAAAAAGGTCAAACGGACATGTCCGTATATGAAATCGCATGAAATAAACAGCTGCATGCAAAAAAACTAAAGGAAATAAACACATGAATATATTGTATCAGTAAGACAGTTATTTTTTTCTGCTAAATGCTTTGTTGAAACGGAGATAACAAATTCCAGTGATAATCAGCATGCACAAGATTTTTCTGGCTAACTGTGACCTCTTCTCTTCGCACCTCGGAAATATCAATCCTTATACAGCCTATACAGGCAATAAAATATTTTTTCTGTTAACATGTACAGCCTTCTGTAAACAATTTACAATCATGAATGTTAAAAATAAAAACCATCCACTCATCATAATTTTAATTTTCCCAAAAATATGGATGAAAATTTATGATTTTTTAACTACAGACTTAAAAGACCAAGTACAAAAATATGAAATAGATCTTGTAAATTCAGAACTTTTTAGGTTATACTTTACAGGTAATACATACGCATTTGGCCATTTGGGTCCAAGTTCCAGCCAGGTGGACTTCTCCATCATCCAGCCAAGACCAGGGAAAAAATCTGTTCTGTATAATAATTCTACAAAACACAAAGTAAAAAGCATGTACATACAACTACAATAAGTATATCTCTGAAAATGTAGATCTCTTTGTTGAAAAAAGGATACTATAAACACTATTATAGTGAAAGTGCCAGGGATGCCCAGCTTTGATTCAATTTAATTGTTTGTGTACCCATCAAGTTCATTCATCAAAATTCCCTATCTATCAACTTTGGCACAGATATTAATGCGCTAATTAATAAATACCTCTAAGAAATTATCTATATACATTACACAGCATTGACATATTATAAGCAAAAATTTGTGATTACACCAACAACTACTTTCCATTTGATTGTGCTTAATTTTGAATAAGCCAACTGAAGGACAGGTTCAGTACTCTTCCATACCTGCATCATCGGACACCATCTCCACTTTTCCATTATCGTTCCAGGCTGACACACACCACAGGCTGGGATCCTGATGCAGGATAGGGAATGTCGCAGAAAAATACTCATAAAAATCAGGGGATATATCTAAGTCATCTACCGATAAAAAGAGAGATTGTTTAGTATCAGTGTTGAAAATGAAAAATGAAACGTTCTTGAGTTTTATATTCAGAAAATTCTAAGAGCAAATTAAAGTCATATTGAAATACATATAAACATGTGCAAAGAAAGATAAATTTCAAATTTATTTAGTATATATAGAAAGGAGAGTTTGATAAAGTTTAAGTATAGTTGATCAAAGTATAAGTAAAAAAATTTCTTGAAAATATTTTAATTGTGAGTTCTCTTACTGTCCCCCACAGATTTTGTAACTAAAACTCATCTGAACATAAAACACATTACTGTGAAATCACTAATTTTCGTGGGGGTTTAATTTTCGTTGTTTTCATGGTTTGAAGAGACCCACGAATTTATGTTCACAACGAAATGTAAATTTTCATATACACAACTACTGAAAAATTCTTCATCGACGAAATCAAATCCCCACGAACCAATATTTTTTCCTCAAACCACGAATATTTGACCCCACGAAAGTATGTGATTTTACAGTATCTTGAATGGCCTTTATTCTATAAATCTATTTCATACCTTCTACGATGATCACAGCAGAATGATTATAGGTGTGGAACACCTGATTGAGCGCCCATTTGTAGTGCCGACTCAGCTTGTAGTAACCCTGGAACTTCTTCTGGGGCCAGGGAAGGTGAATATCACTTGTATTGGGGTGCTGTGAATGAAAAACATGATACTTGAATGAATAATTAAGATTTAAATGTGGGTGCTGTGAATGAAAAATAGTTGAATAAGACTTAAATCTGGGCATACATGCCAACTTTTGAAAATTCCCATGGGGGATTTAGCGCGTGACGACAATTTTTGGAGCTCTAAATTCACGACATTTTGTCGTGAAATTAAATGATAATGAAATGATCTTTTTTTGAATTTGTAATATTTGATATCACTTATTAATACAACTTAAGGATTAATTTAACACAAAAAATTAATGAAATTTTTTTTTTTAAATGGGTTTTTTCTTCCAAAATTGAAATATTTTTGATAAAATAAGTGCCCCTCTCATTAAAACATGTTTTTTTTTCTACCAGGACACATAATTCAGTGAAAAATTGAAAATTGTACAACTTTTAAATCATTTTTTTCCAAAGGCTAAAAAATATGAGGTTTTTATACTGTAAAGTCCTGTTTCTGGAAACATTTTTGAGATTTTTAATTTATATTTCAATTAATTAGAAATTCTAATAAGGTATTAAATTTACTGAAATTTATACCACCTATCCAAAGGAGAATTTTTTTTTTTAAACATGTTAAAGTCATGAAATTTGTCAGGCTTGACATGTGGGTATTTCCTTAATTAAGTCATGCACATACCTATAAAATATTACTTTTGGGAGAAGGAAGGGAAAACAAGTTCTAATTGACATACACTTGATTGTTTCATCTTAATTTCATAATATTTTAACTGGCAAACTTTACAATATTTTTCATTATAGGTAGATAAAATCAGCAGCTATGCTTTATAGTTTTCTACTTTCGTTTTCAAAACACGATCTCTTTGGATTCCGATTTTATAGTTTGATTAGTATTTCATTGTCTTTAATTTATGTTTTTAATAAAATGACTAACAATTAACACGTTAATCTATGTGTTTCACCTTGCATTACCCTTAAAACTGACAAGATAATTCCCTAATTGCCCCAAGCTATAAGCTACTCGTACCTGGACAACAGTGCGTGCGTTCGAGCGTGAAGTGATTTCCTGTGGCTAAGTAACATTGTTAAATAAACATTGAAACTTATCTGAGTGCATTGAATAAACAAGTTTGACATTGTTATCCCGATTGTCAAAAATCAGCGGTAGGGAATCTTTTATAATCGGAAATTTTGGTGATTTTTTTCAAATCGGGAAATTAGGGCAATTTTTCTTTCACGATCGGGAAAGCGGGATGAAAGGGTAAAATCGGGAGGATCCCGCCTAAATCGGGAAAGTTGGCATGTATGTCTGGGTGCTGTGAATGAAAAATAACTGAATATAATGGGTTTAATTTTGGGTGATGTGAATGAAAATACTTACACATAGCGTATTTGATTAGTTATAACCTTAATATGCTGAATTCCATGATCCACCTTAGCGTATTTGATTAGTTATTACCTTAATATGCTGAACTCCGTGATCCACCACGTAACGTTGTATGACATCAGCAGTTGGTTTATGTCCACAGTCTTGACTTACAATGATTGGAAATTTGTCTTTATTTGGTCTGTATCTAAATACAGATATTTGAAATGCATTAATTTATATACCGGTAAAGACTACGAAGTCAACATTGATTTATAGTAAAAACAAACTAAATCAAAGTGTCAGGAATGGACAATTTTGCTTTGTAATAAATGTACGGTAATTTGGTAAATTTGTTAGCTTCATAATATAAGCTCACTTCGCTATAAGCGTAAAGTGAACTTCAGTAAATTTTGAGTGAATTTACACTTAATAAAATATAAAGCTTATTAGATATTAAATACCTATTTACAAATAAATACCACAAATAAATTAAAACATTTCGATTTTAATTTGCTAAACAAGTTAGGTATGTGATAAAGTGGAAGTTATTAAAAGTTTAAAATTTACTGTGCAGTTGAAAGTATAATCAATCAAAGATTTTCCAAGAGTTATTGCCCTTTGAATGTGTTGTGAATGTAATGGTATAAATATTGAAACGTTTTGAGATAGTGATTTTTTTTGTAAAGGGAATGTGCTTTTCTTAATATTGTCCACAAATTTTGTTACTGCTATTCTATAAATTTACAGTGTTTAATGTCTCCATGGAATGAAAAGAACCAAATCATAAACCATCTTGTTCAATTAAACAAGAGCCAGTTTCCATCAAATTAAATGCATTTTTTAAAAACATTAATATATTGAATGAATGAGCCAACTGTATGTAAATAAAAAATGTTAGTGTAAAAAGAAAATACATAGGATGGAACTATACACCATAGTTTTTTCATCAACTGAATGGTGACCAAAATTTCTGGAAAAGTCAAAGACTCTTCAGGTGACTCCACCTTTTGGTGGCCTTTCAGTAGATAAATAGCAGAGTTTTATTGTAAGCTATATATACTCTGTACAGACTTACTTGAGGAGGAGATCAAGGCTACGACTGACCGTCGTCCGATCACAGGCGATGAGGAGGATGGGGAGGATAATTTTGTCAACGTTTAACGGAACAGGTGTAGTCGTCTTATGGATTTCTCTGTCAAGTTTCTCTATAAAAAAAATATTTTAAATTTAAATCTGAAATTTATTTACATATACTTAGAAATTAAAGCTATTTCATGTAGATTTTAAGCTTTCTTCAATAAGCTTGTATTTTATCTCTTGACATTAAAAAGAAAATTTTGAAGTTTTTTTAATATAACTGTTACATGTGTAGGGTATGACAAATTGTAAGACACAAACATGCTCTATAATTGTTGTATAAGTTGATGTTTCATTAAGAAACTTTCTCTGGAATGTGTCTGAAATATGAAGTCCCCAAGGACACGTACACCAATGACATTCAAAGTTGACCACACTGAAGAAAACACCATCATGACATGCACTTAGGTGATAACCAATTTTGGGAGAAATTTATCTTTAGTTAACATGTTTAACTCAGTATAACTCTTAATAATGATTGTCTGATATTATACAACAAACTGTAACCTTGGTAATGGCATGCAACAGTAACACTCACCAATAGAATGCCCTCTAGCCTATAACTGTGCATAATGATTACATGCTGACTGAAAGATCCTATACGTGAAACATCAACCTTTCACTGCACCACAAAAAGATATATTTTTATTGAGCTTGTCTAAACTAGCAATCACAATTTCATCAGTAGTTTGGACTTAAGTTGGTGTCAACATGTTTATACTTGCATCAAAGAGAACAAACTGATGTAACTTTTGATCAGCTAGAGCAATTGTAAGCAAATAAAAAATCATGATTTCTTCAACATTTTATCAATGCGAAAACTGTATAGTAACGCATGCGAGCTGTTTTAATTTTTTAGGGAAGAGTTTAAAGAAATTATGACAATCTTTCGTTTGTCATCGATTATATCAAACATCCAAAAGTCCTGACTATCGGTGAAATTGTCCTATTTCATACAATACATTCCAATGTGCCAAGACTGATTTTCAGTTCAAACGCCTCACCTGCTAATTTTTGCTCTCGAAACTTACGTAGCTGTTGCAGCAGTTCCGAATTTTGCGAGAGCTGTCGATGGATGTCACCTTGGAGACCTCTAAGCTGGTCTTCTACAGAGCCAGAACCAGTCTAGAAATAGGTCAAACACTCTTAAATCAACGGAAAGCTACACCATTACAGAACAAATAATTTTCCCCAAATTTAAAACTATTCAATTTTGAGCATGGTAAACACATGGTAAAAGTAATAATTTACAGATGTGTTAATTTTTTGAAGTCAATTGCTAGGTAACACTAAAAAATATATATGAAATTAACAAAATATGATTTGTATATCGATTTCACTATCAAACCTGAGAAGATATAACCTCATCAATTGATTGAGACAGCAAAGAAAGTTAATTTTGTACATCAGTACATTGCAGTACACCTACATATTTAAATCAAAAAGGCAAAGATAACAGTGATCAATATCTTATATTGATTCATTCATGCCATGCACTGGGATGTGGTTCCAGACCATTAAGATTGGAAGATAAAATGTACATTTTGTAGAAATCGATTAAAAAATAATTAATACAGTGTGCGCCAAAAGGACTAGCCCGATGCCCGAACACTAGTAAAAATTCGATCGGGCTAGTAGAATGTAGGTCAGCACTAGCCCAATCCGTCTAGTGAAAAGTTGCATGCATTTTACATTTATTTGTTGATAAATCTTTAAAAGTAATAAAATAAGTATAAGAATTCTTATTGTTTCCTTTCTTTTTACATGTGCGTGGGTTTCTTTTGTTTAAGCGTGTCGAGAACTTTCAGCAATCGGTCTTCTCTGTACAGTTTGGGTTTATAAAATACACATCAGCATTTACTTCCGGTTATGGCTGCGTTATGTCTATCAATATGAATTTCGACTGGTTTAAGCGAGACAATAAAGAAACAAAGCGCCCACAGAATGTGACAGAAGTTAAAAAGAAATATGAAGTAAAAAGGATTCATAGTTATGTATTCATGTTGTAAAGTATGTGGGCTAGCAAAATCTGATTCGGGCTAGTAATTGTTCTTCATTACTAGCCCGATTGGGCTAGTGCTGAAAAAAGTTTTTCGCGCACACTGTTAATAATCTCTATACACATGATACCAGGATACATTTTGTTTTACTAGGTTTAAGTAAGGCCAAAAAAAATAATAGTCTTGTTTCCTGCTACCAGCCTGAAAAAAATAGGGTAGGTAAAGCCATAAAAAATTGAAATCTTGGTTCTCAGGCCCGCGCGCATCCGTTTTGAGGTAGCCGCATTGCCGATTTTATTGTATTTTTGATAAAATAAAAAGTTGGTAATGCGCAGACCAATCCGGGAAAAAAAATTCCGACCTCATTTGTTTCGTAGTTTAGTATGCAAATATTACTTCCGGTAGCCATTTACAATGAGATTTTGGCTACTTCGTTTGAAAATACATTCGAGGACATTACCTACGATGTTTACACGCTGTTAAGCAATGGATAAAGCAGAAATTTTGACCAGAAATGGAAAGTATATCTGTAATTAAAAAAAATTATCTTTATGTTAAAGAAAATTCAGAAATTAAAATAAAAAAAATACCTCCCTCATCTATACTTTATTGCCAATAAAATGAAAAATAAAATGCCACCCTCCCGCATCTGTTTTGGAGAAAATTGGCCTGAGAACCATGGAATTAATTTTTGATAGCCTAGGTAGGAAAATTATTTTATTTTTCTTTTTTATTTTATTTTTTACAACTGTGTTTCTTTGGATATGAATTAATACAAGATCAAATTAAACATGCCATATAGGTCAATATTGCCTTTTAAAATTAAATTTTATGTCTTTTGAAGCACAACTCAAGTGGTATTTTATGAAAGTCCATATTTAAAACAAAGAGTTTTATGAAATACCAATTGAGTATATATTTTTTTCAGTTTTGGAACATGAAATTCCAAAAATTCCTGATTTTTTCCCCCAAAACTTAAAAAAAAACTTTAGGGTCAGGTGCAAAAAAATAGGGTAGGTCGGGTAGCAGGAAACAAGACTATTTTTATTTTTGGCCTTATCATTTTCATAAAATGGATCTTCTGCAGAGAAAGGTATCAATATTTCTTTGAGTAATACAATTGGTAGGCACCGTAGCACACATGTAAATATCTAGCCAATGAAGCTTAAAATCCCAAAATAATTTCAAATTGGATGTACGACTCAAATATTTTTTGTAATTATACCTTCCCAGGGTTCTTTGAGACTAGCATATAATACATCAGCAAATTCCAGGTGAGGAAAATCACCACTACAATGGCCACCAAGTGCTTCCTCCTCATTGTTTACATTAGTTCCTGGTCCTAAGTAATTACAGCATGGAAACATGAAGCCCCAAAGGGCCAAATCCTTTCATGGTCCCTTTCTTTCAAACAGCCCTTGTTCATATTGAGAAGAGTCCTTACATTCTGAAAAGAGAGAACACCATACCTAAATGTCAGTAATTATATCACTTAATCTTCCTGCTATATAATTATATAATGTGCATGTTTTTACATGTAGTCAGGGGACTGCAGGAAAGACAAATTCAGTACAATATAAACTGACAAATTAACCTTGGTTTATTCCTAAAGCTGAACATACACCTGTCTCTGTTTTAACAATAATCAAGGGACTTGGAGAGTGAAAGATATAGGGGAGGAACAGCGAAAGTCGGACGCTTTTTCGGACCCTCTCGTATGCACCTTTGGTACGCGCTCCAAACTCGTAACACATTACCGGAAAGTTTTACGTCACATAGAATGATGTTTTTACCCTCTTTCTAACCTTAATTTTCATTGGTTAAAAGCTTTGTAATGCTATAATTCAAAACCAAACACGGAAAGGCAAAGGCTGATAAAGTCGGACAGCGACAGTGAAAGTCGGACATGTAGAATTTAAAGTCGGACACATACTAGTTTCGGCTTTTAAAGTCCTATTTACTTCATTTTTTAGGTGTTTAATCGTAGTGGAGCATGCACAAAGTATCAGGTGGTGGGGGTGGGGGGCTGTCCCCTCACTCCCCCCCCCCCCCAACATTTACTTTACACTATTGAAAATTCAAGTTCATTGAAAGGCTACCTTTTTATTATCCCTAAATCAGGGTAATCTGGTAATATGTATGAATAAAATTCGGTTTTGAAAGATGTAATCAAATGAAACGTATATCCTCCCATCAACCTCCAAAATAGAATTTTCTTTGAGTTTGGACCATTACGCACTCCTTCTTTCTTGTCGTTTTCTTTCTTCACTCAGGTAAGTTGATTTTATTTTTTAATTTTATTTTCTACCCCTCCCCGCTTACAAAAATGATACCAAGTGCCAGGGAAAAAAATTCGTGAACATTTTAAGTTTTTTTACGTATAATATACATATACCGGTACTTAGTAATCGTGTGGATTATTTCGATTTTTCCATTTATATACCAAGAAATTTAAATTGGCATATAGTACATGTATTTTGCGATCTATAATCTATAAACTCATTGGTTATCGTGTGAATAATTTTTTGGGTATAAATTGTCCCCAAAATTAATCCCATTTTATATAAAATGGTTATAGACAGAAAACTATGTACCCCACTATCTTTACATAAGAATTAGTAATCTGTTACTTATTTAATTTTCAAGAAAGAACCCTTTCTTTTTCCTGAATGACAGAATGAGTGATGAGTTATAAACATGAAACTCAAATAAAGCCACGAAAAAAAATACTTTGTTGATTTTTTAAAATAGATTTTCTTTTCTTCTCTTTCTTTCCCCTTCCTTCTTTTATTTTCCTCGGTTTATGTATACAGAAATTTCATTTCTCTGCAATATTATATCAGTCTGTTGCTGTTTTAATGAGATCGTTTTTGCTTTACGTGTTTTTCATTGTTTTTTCTGAAAGAAACAATTTCTATGAGGTAAGTTTTTTTTAATTTCTTCCTTCCAAAAAGTTGCAGCAAATCGGCAGAATTTGATTTACAAAAGCTTAAATTAATATATTAAATACTCTTAAATTGCCAGTAAGTTTAATAAAATTATAATAAATTGTTCTAGTTTTTTAAAATATGACAATTAAAATACAATTTATTCAATATAATGTGCTGTCCGACTTTAAATTCTCCTCTGTCCGACTTTAAATGACCGAGTATGTAAAGTCGGACAGTTTAATTTTCATGGTTTTATAAATAAATATCCATCATAAAGTTATTATTATGGGAATAATTAATATTAATCATGTAAAAGTATGATTTAATTACGAAATATACTGGCAATCACGGAGTACCGACGGCAAACTGAAGATTTCGCCAAGGATAACTAGGTCACTGTCGACAGGTGCGCGCTCGCTGCGCATGCGAATTTTATCCGGATCCGTGAGATGCGTATGTATCCTCTAGTCTAGGTCACCTACACGTTTGTTGCATCGATGCATGGTCTCACACCAAACGTCTAGGAGCATTCCACTATAAATATTTTTACTTCATAACGAGGCTTATCCAGAATTTGATAAAGCCTGTGATTGGTTGAACAAAAATAAACATTTGACAGCAGAGTTTTGGCTGATCTTAGAATCGACTTTCCTTTAAAAAACATCACAGAAAGTATACCTGGAGAAATTAGCAAATAGGTTTGACATATTTGCAGTGCTAGCTACGGGTTATGGGAAGTCACTGTTATACGTTATTTAACCGAAAATAATGCTTGAAGTTGAAGATAAATTACAGTGTGCCGTATTTATATAGGTCATTAGTCATCTGGTACACACAGTGCGTATGCGGGTGTAGGAGTTTGCAGATGACATAATAATCAGTCTAAATGTTAAACTACACACTTTCTAATCACTTGCTGAATTTAAAAAAAAAGAAATGTATAGAATATTTGACAGTATATGCTTATTTACTTTTTAAATTTAATGACTTTCAGTGGAGTCGCCATATAAATTTAGAGTTAACGTTCTTTAACAGCGCCGCCCCGTGGTGAAAATTTTATCTACAGTATGCTCCAAGGCGTTTGAGTGGGGGGTCAAACGACTTGCGTGACCTAGGCTAATGTATCCTCCAGATTTTAGACATTATTTCAAACGTTTTCACGACTACATATGTACGAAACAACCAAAAACATCCTGTAGACGGAGATACTGAAAGAAAAATACACATGACACTAAATTTAGAAACGATTTTATTCTGAAAGAAAAAACTGTCCGACATTCGATGCTGTCCGACTTTAGCTGTTCCTCCCCTAGTATGCATGTACACATTGATAAGCATGATAAGGTTTACAAGTTCATATAAGATGATAAAAATATTCTTCAGCTTTGTGTACTTGCGTTAGATTCCATTTCGAGATTTATTTAACAACTTTGATATTTGAATACTAGAATGATATCCATTATAAATTTAAAATCAGTCCTAGTATTATTAACGCAGAATGTTTACTTGAAAGAATAAAGAACGACTGAGGAAATTCGAACTAATACGACGTGTCACAAGCAGACGAAGATTAGGGGTGTCAGTTTACCTGCCACAAGAAAAACAAAAACTAGACCATCTTCTGCTAAAAATGTCCAAGACATACTTACGTTAAAGAGAAATTACGGCCACATTAATTAATAAGAAGATATTTTAGCTTCCTTTTCCTTACAAAAAGAAGAGTAATCTCGCGTTATCAAGAAACAGAGACTAATAGAGGAAATGAAAACGGTAGGAGTGACATTTTACGGCTTTTTAAGGCTGTTTGCCTTCACCAAAATATATACACTTTCTCCGTCAATATACATAACGTTATTCAATTAATTGTTAATCTAAGTATTTTACGTTTATGACTTTATACATGTAAAACTATAAAGTAAAAATACATTTGTTTGCATCTCAACACACAGCAATTAATATAAAGGGGGGGGGGGGCAGATCGGTCATTCAGGTGTAGTATGCAATGCTACTCTCTTATTTGCCTTAAGGCCGGGTCGTTGTAACAAAAAAAGGGCGGCCTTCTTCACCAGAATTCATTAGACAAGGTATTTATCCTAAATAACAGTTTAAAGAAGCCTACTCGGAAAAGTGGATACCGGGGGTATTACAGCTGAGGAGTTTTCTAAGCGATGCATAAGGAAGGGTGGATATCTTGAGATTGAAGACCTAAACATAATAGTAAACGGAGTCCACAATTTAAGTTACTGAAAGGGCTGAATGTAAACAAAGCTCCAAGACCAGATAACATAACACCAAGGACTCTCAAAGAATTGGCAGATGATGTGGCCCCAATCCCTACTTTGATTTTTAGCCATTCTTATCAAACTGGTGAGATACCAGCTGTATAGAAATCAGCCAAAAATTGCCCCATATACAAAAAGGAAGGAAATATGAGGCAGTGAACTATAGTCCAGTGTCATTATCATGCATCTCCAGCAAGATCTGGAGCACATCGTCACTAGCCACATCATGAACCACCTGATTTCAACAAGATTATATACATACTCCAGTATGGGTTTCGTCGTGGCCTTTCATGCGAAACCCAAATTATTGAGTTCATTGATGACATCACTTTCAATATAGATAAAGGAAAACAGACAGACTGCTTTATTAAGCACTTTTCCAAAACATTTGATAAAGTGAGCCACAGTCTCCTTATCCACAAACTCAACCATTATGGAATAAAAGGAAAGACCAATCAGTGGATCCAAAGCTTCCTTACCAACCGCAGGCAAAGGGTGGTCGTGGATGATGAATTTAATCATCTGAGGAGGTGTCCGTAGACTCGGGTGTTCCCCAAAGTTCGGTCTTTGGACCCAGTCTCTTTCTATTTTATATCTACGACATGCCAGAGGGCCTTCTATTAACTGAACTACTCTTCGCTGCTTATACCGTAGCATACATGACCATCACATCAGAGGCAGATGCAGAGAAGCTGCAGGAAGACTTAAACAAACTACCAATGTGAGAAAATAAGAGGCTCATGAAGTTCCACCCCCCAAAAATGTAATGTGCTAAGCATCACCAGGAATCGTAGAGCCATAAAGAAGAACTACATCCTACATGGCCCCCAATTAGAGCATATTCCTCCTGCAAAATATCTAGGCGTTACAACCTCGTCAGATTTGAAGTGGACTCAACACATAATAACATCACCGCTAAAGCAAACACCACTATTTGCACTATACTGTATAAGGCTCGCAACCGCCAGTATATCAAACAATTTACTTTTTTTAATTCACCTGTAAATAGACTGTCACATTTATTATTTTTTTTTTTAAATTTTTTTTTTAAACATGCGCACACCTGGTGACATAAAAGTCAGCTGACTGACGGAGGCCACTTACTGGTAGAAGTAGAAGTAGAAGCATACCTGTTTAATTAACTGAACTCCAAATGAATTTCACATACTTTTAACGATATTTGCTTTTAAACTCCATTTTACTTATCTTTGTACATGCTGTCGTAGCTAAAATTCTCTTTACACGACATGATCAATTCCCAAGTTACTTGATGTACGCATATGAGGTCATCGGCGGTTGATTTTAATCAAATTGATAGATACAGCATAACAAAATAAAAACATTTTATTTTTGTTAATATTTACACGCTTCTATTCATTTTCTAGAGTTAAATTATCCCTGCGTAGACTCCTAGTCATAATTCGTGACGTGTACATATATGGGAACTTGCTTATTCCCTCATATTGGCATGCTATTGTTTTTTTGATGAGAAGGATATGGAGATAACGAACAGTATTCAATATCAAAGTCCATAGAACAAAACAAAATAGGAGCAGAGCAAACACGGACCTCCGAAACATCAGGTGCCATGGAGGAGTGAGTATCCTCTGCTGACCGGTCACATCCGCCATGTGCTCCTTGTCATGATCGGGAAATAACGAAAATCCGTCGTCAATTCAGTGTATAAATAATGGACTAACAATTAGAATGAAAAACGTCAGTCAGCATTTGACTCAATGATAAATTGTATTTGCTGACAAGGTCATTTTATCGACCATAGGACTTACGAAATGATGACTTTAAACGAGACTACTGATATTCTTGTTTCATTAACTTGCTTGTCAATAATTTACCTCGTTTTAGAAATTGTTCATACGTAGAGCATGATGTTGCGTATCGAATCAACTTAGATATATACACTCCGTATGCAGGTGATGGAGGTATATTGCTACATAAGTAAGGGAAGTTGACGATAGAAAAGTTTTAAAAGTCATCACGTTTATCATAAAGCTTGGTTGTTATATTACCATTAACGTCTTTTTCAAGTGAAATATCCAAGTATGAAACAGATGTGTCAGACTCTGTGGTATCTTTTATCTCAAGCTCACGAGGATATATCGTATCGACGTAGACATAGAAATTAACATTGTTAATTGACAAAACGTCGTTGATATACTAGTATCTAAATGTCGAGTTGAAGGCCACAACAAGTGTTTTCTCCTTTTCACGCATAGGATTTTGCACAAATTCGTATGAATATAAAATGCTAATAACGGAGCGCAATACCCATGGGAATTCTAATAGACTGATGGAATACCTGGTCTCCAAATCCACATTGATATTGGCAATCAGAAACTCAAGTATCTTTTTGATGTCAACTTTAGAGTACTTGTGAGTGCGATCAGAATGTATTTTAACAAAATCATTTTGCACCTGACCAATGACCAGGTAAGTAAATTTACGAGTTCCATCTTTATTGAAAAAGCAGCTGTCAATAATATCGAAAAGCCTGGACTTAAATTTATCGTGGGGAATGGTTGTGTATAAAGTTGAAAAGTCGTAAGTTTTTAAGCTGTTGATTTTGGTAAAATGTTGTGATTTCAAATTGTCCAAAAGTTCTTTGGAATTTTTGAGTATGGACATCTGATTCAAACCACTTGAATATATTGTTTCACAATACTCTTGATTTTGTTTCCTTCACTACTATCAACATCTTAGAAGTAACGAAAGAGGCTTGGTTGAACTATTGTTTATTAGTAAAATGTATATAATGACTATGAAGATATTATAGCTGTAATAGTAATAGTAATATATACTTTGTATTAAATTATTATAATTGTATGCAAAAAGTTTAAATTCTCATGGAGTATTGGTTCATGTGAAATGAATGTGAAAATCATCTCCTTTTTATGCAGTATTGTGTATTATATATATTGAATTATGCATCATTTAATGATTTTATGATGTTCTCAATATTGTTATTATCTATTTTAGGACTATATTACTACTTACGTATATTATCATTGTTAATAAACAGTAGATTTCACAGGCGTTTTAGTTTCTACAGAAACCCTGAAGCCCTGTTACATGTCATTTAACATTCTTTTTTTTTTTTATTTTATTAGGTATACACAGGAAAAAATGACTCATATGATATTCATGAAAATATGTTTTTCATTTGAAAATTATATGAAAAGAATGTAAAAGCAGAAGGTACAGTTTGGGCTTTATTGTGCCCCCCAAAAATTAATGTTCTTAAAAAGTTATGAAATTGGCTAAAACAATAGTTGAGTAGATGAATATGATATATCAGTAAAGACTATGGCGTGAAGGAGTACCATTCTGGAAACATGACGTCATTAATTTGGTACATTTCCAAGTTTAATGCAGAATAGTCTCAGAAAGATCGACTCATTTCTGTGCGTATTTTCATTTAGAAAATAGTGCCTGCCACTGTCGCCCACTTCAATTTTCAGATATATTATGTAAATTGCTATAAAAAATCACATATCTCAAAATCTTTGTGATGTTTATGAAACACTGTGCACTCGGCGGCAACAAAGTTCGAAAAAGATAATTTTAACATATAGATTAAAGTCAAGGTCACAAGGTCATTGACCTTGGTGTCATTTGAAAGAACTTGATAAGTGGAATACGCATTACAAACATGAAGTCTGTAACTCCTATGGTTCAAAAGTTATAGAGAAAGTTCGAAAAAGCTATTTTTATAATTTAGGTTACAGTCAACAAGGTAATAAGGTTATTGACCTTTGTGTCATTTGAAAAAAAAACTTCATTAGTTCAGTATGCACACCAAATATGAAGTCTCTATCTTTCATGGTTCAAAGTTATTGCGAAGATTAAAGTTCACAACAGACAGACAGACAAACAGCTAAACAGACAAACAGAACAAAAACAATATACGTCCCGGTTCTATCGATCCGGGCGCATAAAAATACTTTCACTTTTCATCTTAATTGACCAGCTGACTAACAAAAAAGGTCATGCTTCTTCATTACTTCCTTTAAAAGTTTTCGGGCTTTATATTATGATAAGCATATAGACTTGTAGGCACAATTGAATGGGCATAACTGATAACAAGGTTGATGGTGATAGTGGAAAACTATTATAAGGTTAAGGATGAATAAAAGCAAGTTTGAATTAAGTTTGAAAGGAATATATACATGTAACAATGGTACAATATTACATAACATATGTTGAAAGAAAATAAGAACCTCTTGCAACGGACCTAGTTATCACATTTTTCTGCATTAAATGTTCATAACATTCTGTCGAGCTGATGATTTGTCATATGAGTTTCCATATATTTGTACTTTTTTCAAAAATATATCGATCTTTATCGATTTGTTTCTTTTTAGAACATATATAATGATTTCTGATGTGATTTTTATCAATATCATTCTTAACTGAATTCGAGTCTTTTAATTATAATTGAAAGGCCCTCTTTAGTCGTCTGTGA